CCTCCCTGTTCCGCAGTGCCTAAATCAGCCTTTTTAAATAGATTTAGTAGACCGAATAGAATAGAACAGACTACTTTGGGCATGTTTGCATTACGCTAAATTTTTTTCAGGGAACATTACCGTACCAAAATTATCCATACCAGTGGCGTGCTGGGTACTATTTTTCTGGAGGGGCCAGTGGGCTGTCAACCAATATGCGCCCCTATAATGTTACACTTGATAAATGAGGGCCGAAGGCACGAGCCGAGTGCCGCAGGTGCGAGGTTTGTCTAGGGGGGCCCGGGGGCATGCCCCCCAATGTTTGAATTTAGAGTCTCTGAAATGGCATTTCCTGGACTTTGGGGGAAGATTTGACACTGAGAAATCTGATGGTCAGGAAACGGCATTATAACGTGTCGAAATTTGTAATTTGGTTAGAATAGCATATTATGCAATGCTAACTACTTCCAGCGATTAATCTAATCCCAATTCTGTTCTCTACTGATATACATTTACAACTCTTTTATACAATAACACACGCATCCCACGCATATGCATTTTAAAGTTTCCTTGTCTGGCTGCCAAAAGGGCATGTTTCAGCATTATTTCATTACTTACATCACTCATGCTTCTTGTGCAAACAACTAAATTGCGTAGATAACTTTACATCAGTTATCATAACTTCAACTATCTAATTTGCGCCGCTCTCGTGATTCGTGAAGCATAATAAAGGGCATAATATAAGGGCATAATACCAGCAAAAAAGGGCATAATTCCCGTGATCGCTTCGATCGAACCCTGACCAATATTCCGGTAATGAGATTTTGCCTGTGATCACTGATCTGATCATGTTTCTATATGAACTATTTCGTGTGAGGTAGCAAATACAGTTAGGCAAAATATATAGTCTGTAATTTAATATATGTCGCTTATGCGCTTAGTCTGTTTTATACTACGACTACCCGGCATTACCTGATTACTGGTACCAGCTAACCGTCTATAGGAGACTGAAACGACGATACTCCATTACTCCATAAGAGCGGCTCTACGATTAGGTGATTGGAAATATGATTGGGTACATGATTGGAGGAAGCAATCGTGAATCACAGGGCCTACAGTTGCATTTTTAATTTTCGAAGCTGCCCCTGGTTAGGTCTAAATACTATGTCAAACTTTCGAAATACAAAAAGTAGTTTCAAATTTCACGGCTTCATATTTCACAATATTTGACCCAAAATAAGGCAAAATTTTTCACTTTTCTCGCTCTTGTTTCTTATTCACAAAGAATTGCGCTCGGACACCTCCAAAATCATAAATTATAGGCTTTCAGACATCCTTTGAATGTGCTTTACCGAGCAAAAAATGAAAACAAAGCCCGTCACTTTTGGTGTGTTTAGAGGCGGTTGCCCATATATTTAATAGTAATTTACACTACGCGCGCGTCATCTGCTCAGGTAAATAGGGTCTGGAGCCCATTTGCGCATGCGTACGGCACCGGACACCGCCAAAATCAAACTCCTCGTGAAATTTTCTACATTTTGGTATAAAGTTTGATGTATTTATTTGCGAAATAAGTCCGTCAAAATTCGTGTGAAGCTGGATTATATTTTGCGGTTAGCATCCTCGATAGCTACGGCGCTAGCTGAAGCAGTAAGACCGAATACTGGAGAAGTATCTTCGATTGAAGCTCTGCCTTCGTTCGTACATCATATAAGCAAGTAAGAGTATATTCATTATTTTACAAGTTGACTTGAGGAAATGCGGCAGATTTTAGTATTTTTTTCTGGTATTCATAGCATAGTCGAATTATACATATTACGTACTAGTTCTAACACAAGTATGTGTTCTTTCTCTGATTTCTTAATACGGCCGAGTAGGTTGAAAATGCGAGACGAAGACGAGCTTTTTTAACCAGCTTGTCTGTATTTAGAAATCAAGAAGTGGCTTCTCAATTAAACGAATCAATACATGGTGGGCATAAAAGACAGCGAATTTGGCCAAGTACATATAACTTTCTCTCGTTAGTTTGGAATATCACGAAACTCCCTCACGGGATAGAACTTAACATTCCTAAAAATCGTATGTTTTTTGTTTTTCGATTTTGTTACATTTTGGCGGGAAAATGACGTGCCAACTTCGGCGCCAAAAAATTAAACACGAGCTAAGGACATGCTAGTAATTTTTTCGAAAAGATTGTCCTATAAGGATCACAAAACTGTAAAAACATTAAAAATACAACAAGGCAGTGCGAAAATATGGCGATTCAAATTTCTATTTTTACTGAAAAATCAGCCATTTTGTTACTAAAAATAGATTTTTTTCGAACTTTGAATCGCCATATCTTCGCACTGCCTTGTTGTATTTTTAATGTTTTTACAATTTTGAGATCCTTATAGGACAATCTTTTCGAAAAAGTTACTAGCATGTTCTTAGCTCGTGTTTATTTTTTTGGCGCCAAAGTTGGCACATCAATTTCCCGCCAAAATGTAACAAAATCGAAAAACAAAAAACATACGATTTTTAGGAATGTTAATTTCTATCCTGTGAGTGAGTTTCGTGATATTCCAAACTAACGAGAGAAAGTTATATGTACTTGGCCAAATTCGCTGTCTTTTATGCCCACCGTGATACTTTTACTTTAAAAATTAAGAGAAAGCAATGTGCGCTTTGGTCTGTCTGCCATATTTATTAATAAAGAATGCGCGCATAATTGCAGTGCGAGGCACTGGATACTAGCTTACTCAAATGTTCGAGTTCATACGGTGAAAGTTTGATATCGGATGTGTACTGAAAATTTAGTTCGTGGAGCTTGCATGCGCATCAGTTATAAAGTTTTGCTTGTGATGTTACTCTGAGGGTAGATCCACACCGGGCATGCGCAAGCTTGAAAAATATGCCTGGCCACGGTGGGAATCGATCCTACGACCTTTGGAATACTAGCCCTATGCTCTGTCAACTGAGTTACGCGGTCAGGTCGGTTCGAGTATGTGATATTTCGGAACAGAATCTAGTTCCTTCGATACCAATGTATACGTAATCTAGTAATCATGATTTTTTCTGTGTTGGTGTAATGTACTCAGGTGAATATGATGCTTGTGATAAAGGACTAGATTCTGTTCCGAAATATCACATACGCGAACCGACCTGACCGCGTAGCTCAGTTATCAGAGCATTGAGCTAGTATACCTAAAGGTCGTAGGCATGGGCGTACCGGAAGGAAAAAATCAGGGGGGCGGAAAGAAATTTGCCCGACTTTTCGGGATTGTGCCCGACTAGTACCTAAAACATTTTTTCCGGAAAAATTATTTCGGCGACCCCCCCGTCGCCAAAAATTTTTCGGTCAGTGTACCATTTTAGGGGTCAAAATATTTTCCGGACATACCAAAATTTTTCGGAACATCACACAAATTTTCAAAAAAACACAAAATTTACAACAAAATTGACTGAATTTTCCACTAAATTTACATTATTTGTCCCAATTTTTTTTATTACAAACCAAAATTGCCCGACTGTTCATCGAATATTGCCCGACTGCCCAAAAAACTGGGGGGGGGGCGCCCCCTCCCCCCGCCCGGTACGCCTATGGTCGTAGGTTCGATTCCCACCGTGACCAGGCATATTTTTCAAGCTTGCCCGGTGTGGATATTCACTCAGAGTAACAATCATATTCACCTGAGTACATTACACCAACACAGAAAGAAGTTAGTTTTTCGACTAACCCCCCTCCCCGCCCATTCGTACGCCTATAGTTTTTAAATAGGATGATTATGAGATTAGCTCTCTGAGATTGGCTAGCCTGCGCGCAGACTATGTAATGACATATATATGTCATTATATAGTCTGCCCGCAGGCTAGAGATTGGTATGTTTTTTTTGTAAATGTTTAAGCTAGCTCTGCAGCAGAGGAAGGGTTCCAGATAGTGATCCCAGCCCTTCCATTGGTTACATGCTGCTAATGAGCTCCATACATATCTGGAATTGAGAACTCGCGCCCAGTGAGAACTCGCGTCTATTGTATTCATGTGTATTTGTCTGCGCGATTAATTAACACGTCTAGTCAATGCCAAAATTTCGTATTTTGAGTTCGATTTAAAGAATAATCATACCATTGTTTTATAAACTGACAGCTTAATTAGGAGGGAAAATGGTGTGAAAACTGACTATCTGAAAATGGTGTGAAAACTTTCATATATTTTTGTTACGAATCCCGCAATCTTGGCTTCACTGAAGTTCGTACCACACGTACTCCAGGTACCTCATACCTATAGAGCTCACTTGCGTTTGGCTTGCTGTTGCCATGGTTGCTCTCGTTTTCAAGATGTCCGATTTCAAAATGGTATTTGATCTTGTTCACAAATTTCAACTCGAATTTTGGAGTGCATAACAATCGAAACGGATATATTTGAAACTTTAGTGCTATTACAAAGTGTATGCTGAGAAACAATGGTATTTTATTTGATCTCGTAAACCACTAGAACAGCGGCAACAGAGGTAACACTTTCAAGACTTTCAACATTTATATTCAAGGCGAGAGCTAGAGGCAGTGTACTGTCACAGTGTGTAATCATGAGTGTAGTCAGTCAGGCATTACTAGACTGAAGTTGTGTAATATTTATATTAAGAACTAAGTATCGGTTACCAATGTTCCTATGTACGTCAGTTATTTATGTATGTTGAGATTTTTTTCTGTGTTGGTGTAATGTACTCAGGTGAATATGATGCTTGTGATGTTACTCTGAGTGTATATCCACACCGGGCAAGCTTGAAAAATATGCCTGGTCATGGTGGGAATCGAACCTACGACCTTTGGAACACCAGCCCAATGCTCTGCCAACTGAGCTACACGGTCAGGTCGGTTCGAGTATGTGATATTTTGGAACCGAGTCTAGTTCCTTCGATATCGATGTAATCTAGTACAATCATGATTTTTTTCTGTGTTGGTGTAATGTACTCAGGTGGATATGATGCTTGTGATGTTATTCTGAGTGTATATCCACACCGGGCAAGCTTGAAAAATATGCCTGACCACGATGGGAATCGAACCTATGGCCTTAATGGAACACCAGCCCAATGCTCTGCCAACTGAGCTACGACACTGGTCAGGTCGGTTTGAGTATGTGACATTTCGGAACTGAATCTAATTTCTTCGATTATCAGTGTAATCTAATAATCATGATTTGCTGTGTTGGTGTAATGTACTCAAAGGTGGGCTGGTGTTCCAAATGTCGTAGGTTTGATTCCCACCGTGGTCAGGCATATTTTTCAAGCTTGCCCCTCTCTCCTCCGCAGAGCCTCCTTAAGTATTTACAAATAACTTACATGAAGTTTCCTGAATAAAAGTGAGCACGTGCGGTATGATGGGAAGATTGAAATGAAGTTGGGGAGGCTCTGCCAGATAATATTGTGACGAAGTATGGTTTTTGAACCAAACTAGTTGTTTGAACTTTTTTTAAAATTGAAATCGATGAATATGTGAAAGAAATTGAAATGAATCTTCATAATCTGAGTATTGAAGTTCAGTAGAGTCATTTTTATAAAGAAATGTTGCAATTAAGAGGATATTTATAATTAGATAGCTCGTATCCATTGATATTCATTTGCAATTTCTCAATATTTTTCGATGCAAATGGACAGAAGAAGATATTGAATTCACCCCAGAATACTCAAGTACACCTGAAAATGAAAGTCGAAAACATGTTTTAACACCCCCGATGGTTGATCGAACTTCACTACAAACGATTATATACGACGCCATATTGAAATGCATTAACTCGCAGAGGCTTCCTTTATTTAACTCTTCCCATCACTCCTTGCGCGCTCACTTTTCCCTCACAAGAAACTTCATGTAAGCCTCTGCGGAGGAGAGAGCTAGAGCTTGCCCGGTGTGGATATACACTCAGAGTAACATCACAAGCATTATTCACCTGAGTACATTACACCAACACAGAAAAAATCATGATTACATCGATATCGAAGGAACTAGACTCAGTTCCGAAATGTCTTATGTACTCGAACCGACCTGACCGCGTAACTCAGTTGGCAGAGCATTGGGCTAGTATTTCCAAAGGTTGTAGGTTTGATTCCCACCGTGGTCAGGCATACAGTATTTTTCAAGCTTGCCCGGTGTGGATATATACACTCAGAGTAACATCACAAGGATTATTTAATATGATTAATTGATTTTAATCGCTTTTGATGACATTTAACCCATTGAGTGAAAGCACTTTCCCCCCTGAAGTAAAATCAACCAATTAGGCGCATTGCTAGACACAATGAGTGAACTAAGTAGAGACATGCACCATGAGCAGATCAGTCTGATAGAACTAATCGCAGAAGAATTTTGTAGATGAGTTGCACGAACTGGGTTGCGCTACATTGCACAATAATTTATACTCGATTTTATCATGTAAAATAACATTTTTTAATTTAACGAAGTGATAAAAAACGCCTGCTCAACTTACTAGACAACGCGCCTCTAACAGAATGCTTCAATTCGCATATTCAACAAATTGTACAGTGACTGTGTGCATCTCAGTCTGTCAAAACGTCTCCATTCGCATGACAGTGTTCCAAAAATGCTGGAGGCTGAAGCCGATGTTGCACCTATTTAAAAATAAAACCCAACTAAACGTTACAGGTATACAGTAAAGTCATCGAATGTACCATAACTGTAGCAAAGTGAAGATTACCCAACCCTATATTCATGTCTTACAGGCTGGTTAACAGCTGCTTCTTAAACTACTCGCTGAACAGAACTTAATGACTGTTGCAGGAATTTTATGATCAGTACTGTCATTCTTTTTGAAATAGAGAAATTATATTACATGATATGTATTCAATATTAAAGATGTAAAACTATTTGTCTCTAGAAATGGTCTGGTATAAATCTGGTTTAAATCAAATCGAATGCATGATTTAAAATTTTACCTTAGGCCAAGTAAAAAAAATAGTAGTTTCTCGTCCTAATTTTGAAAAAAAGGAGAACGCATGCGCTTTTTTTTTGTTAAACCTTCAAATATTGTTCTTAAAGTTTACCAAATAACCTAATAAATAATATAAACACACATAAATATTGAAGTTTACTCATAAAACGTAAATATATAATAAAATAGACAAACAGCTAACTATTATTAATAAATATGCCATATGGCGCCAAAATAACAATATGGCACGAACAGCGGCGCGAAGTACTGAACAGCAAGTGAGAGTTGAAGAAAAGTTCCGAACGGCAACCGAATTATGCCGAAAGGAGCAAAATGGCCGAAATATGTAAGTGGAAACTCTTTGAAAGGCTTGAATATAAAAAATTTAAAAAAATCCATGCGGCAGGGAAAAAGGATGCGGGCGGGGACGAGAAACTACTATATTTTTTTTTACTTGACCTTAGTTTGAAATGAACAGAGTATAACCCAACGTGAAACCGGAGAATTTTTAACTACCGGTACTATGATGTGTAAATCACAAATAAACTTATTCATTATGATCATAATCATGTTTTCTAGTGGTGTAACATGTCAACTAGCCAAGATGAGATTACAGCTGCAACATCAAATGGGAGGTTATCAATTTTACCTCCTATCACATCCTCAATGTCGCAGTCCACAATTTATGGAAAAAGTCACCTGAGATCTTACAGAAGAAGCAAAGAGCTTCAGACGCTTTTGAGAAGATATGTGTAAGTTATATAAGTACATGATTGCATGAAACTACATGCAGTAATTGAAATAAGATGCTTTTGAACCTATTTTTTGTAGCTAATTGTGTTAATTACAGTGTAAATGTTTAATTAAAAAAAAGTATTTAATATTTAGTACCTTTTTCAATTAAGTTTGAGGATATTAATTTTGTACTACACGGGTGAATTTTGGAAATTTCGCAATACATCTAAGATCGAATCTGGGTTCTTCCATTAATTTATTGTACGATCACCCAGATTAAAATTTTCTTATTGTTTCTGCATGCATGACGTTTCGGCAACCTATACGGCAGTCATTATCAAAGACGTATTGCAGTTGCAAATTTACAGTAATTTTATCTTGCGTCAAAATGACGTGCGCGTGTTCGTTGATCTAAGTGGTGCTCGTACATCTAAGATATCTTATTATTGAATTAAGACTTCCAGTGGTTGTTCAATAATGCGCATTGTTGGCATTTGCCCGTTTTATTATTTTCAGTTTCTACTTTCTCTCTTTCTAAAACATTTCGGTTTCAGATACAGAGCTTTCAGAATTATATCAGAGTAGGTGTCTGTTTTGATAAAGTAGGCGGCTGTAGGGAGGGGATGGTCCAAATTAATGAGGTACATTGATTAGATAGCAACACAACACAAATTATGATGTATCACTACTTTCATTCTTCAACAAGATTTATTGTCGATTTCAAGTCACCTTTCAACGCACGGTTCCCAAGTTCGTTGCGAACTTGCCAATTACGTTTCCAAGTTCGGAAATTGGGCGCGAAATTTCATTTCCATGTTTGAACTTCGTTTGTAAACAAATGTTCATAGTTACTCAGTAATAATAACCAATTCAATGAAATACAAACCTTCTTGGCAGCCCACTCGACCAAGAACTTTCCTTTGAATTGTTAATTTCAACTTGAACTATGAACTTTTGTTTACAATAGTTCAAACATTGAAACGTACTTGCGATCTTTGATGCGAAGTTCACGCCCAATATTTGAACTTGGACACATAATTGGCAAGTTTGCAACGAACTTGGGAACCACGCGTTGAAAAGTGATACGAAATCGTCAATAAGATGGCAAATAACTAAATCAGTTTTACGAAATAGTACGTCGTTTTCGAAAATAACCAGGCTATAAAGTATAGACCAAGTTGAGGAAAAATAACTTTGTTTGAACGCTTAGAATGGAGGAAGGAGAGCAGAATTGATGTTTCAAGTAGTAAACAAAGTAACCGGCGGTAAACCTTGTGCCACCCGCCGGAGCTCCGGCGGCCGCCAGGTTATTTTGAAAGCCCTGCAGATATTTCATTTCAACGAAATATTGGTCAAACATCCTGCACCTATAGTAATCTTTTAAACTCATGCTATAACGAGGGTCAACGCTGGTGAGAGTAGGATAGAGAGTATAGGACATGACAGTAGACTGGGTATTACCACGCACACCGAAATCCTCTCATCAGATTTGATATCGGGTAGATCAGAGGGACAGAGGGTCCGCCCACCTAAAACGCCCGCTTGCTGGAGAGAGTGATAACATGCTTGAAAAGAGTGTTAAAACATTTAGATACGAAAAAGCTGTCCAGGATAAAGAAATAGTTGAAGATGATTTGAAAAGAAGGCCTGCTCCTTCCGATGGTCCTCAATTGCCATCTACTGTAAGTATAGTTATTTCTTTTCTACTTTTTGGGACATGATTAAGTTACTCTCACTGGTTTTAAGTACAGTTTATACAAAATAAAGAAACATTTATATCAATTCCAAATTATATTTGCCAATATACATATATAGACACAATCGGCTAACGTTTTGTTTATACCCAATTAGGCAAATTAGGATTTTTGGGTGGCTTTTCAGCCGAAGCCTGCGAGATAAGTCCAAATAACATTAACTTTTTATAATATTTTGGACGAATCATTATTCGTTATTCGTCATTAAACTTGCTTTGTAAATGATTAGTTTTTTTTGAAAAATTGCTTTTCACATTGTCTTAATTGTCTGCATTGGTTAACGAGAATGTTGAAAACCATCACCGACACTCATTGCTCTGACCGAGACATTTTTTACTATTGAACTGCAAAAATTTATACTAAGTCTTGTTATCCGCGATCCACCCACTTATATAATGTATTTAATACTTATTTACTGGTATTTAACACTTATTTACTGGGCTTACCTCGGCTTCGCCTCGGGAAACATCGACGGTCGAGGGTCCACAAAACATTCAGCTTTCCCGAGGTCCCAGTAAGTATTTTATTACTGTATATATCAATAGTCAAAGAAACAACAAATTAAAGAACAGATGAACGTAAATACTAAAAAAATGCTAAAAATATCGCGCGCTTTTAGGCATGTCCAAAGGTCGCATCTTCACGTGATGGCGCACGTATTATGACTAACGTATTAGTGAGCTTAAGCAAGTGACGTTTTTGACAACACGAACGGCATGAGTAACGTCAGAAGACTGGGTCAAGGGCTGTGATTGGTGAAAAACGTCAACTTTACTTCCGGTCAACGTCCGTGTTGTCAAAAACGTCACTTGCTTAAGCTCACTATTATCTCCCTCTCGCGCTGTTGCGAGGGAGACAGCCTTATTTCGTCACTCTTACGTGATATGCTCTCGACCAATAAATCAGTAAAAAAATGCGACTTTGACTGTTGGTATATAATAAGACAATTTCTTTACCCCCATTAATGTATGGTGGGATTAAGGGGATATGGGTTTTCTAAATTTGCGACAATGTTACGAAAGGTGGTCAAATAATTGGTAGTGTCGCGCAGATGTTTTGTCCGCGATTGTAGAATTGCATGGGTTAATGTAAATGTTAACCGATTCTGTCTATTCATTCATGTTATCTATTTTTCTTTGCCATATTGTAGATGATGAGTCGAGAAAGAAGAATAAGAGTAAGTTCAAGTGTATACATATGTGACGTGTATTGATTTTTCGGCTACAACAACTCATAGTATAAGTTGATGAAAAAATTGACTCTCATATTTAAATTATTGCATGAGTGATATTAAACGCGAATGCAGCTTATTGCTTAACTATGATTACCACTTTTTTCAATTTTAAAGAAGAAGTGAAGACCTTAAGCAGCACATGGAAATGCAATAACAATCGTTCAAGTTTACTTAATTGTTAGATTTGAGTTAAATTTTGACCTTGATCAATCAAGGAGAGGTGCAATAATTTTCAGGGGAGGTGCAACAGTTTTCAGGGGAGGTGCAACAATTTTCAGGGGAGGTGCAACAATTTTCAGGGGAGGTGCAACAATTTTCAGGGGAGGTGCAACAATTACTGATTGCACCTGCATGATCCAGTGCATATTTTAAACGTTTTACAGTTGGGGGCTAAAACCCAGTATCTATGTCAAAATATGTCTACATCATTGGTGGCCAAATTTAAAGTCGGTTGACTTTATAATCAAGTCTCTCTTTGAGTATTTGTATTCTATAGCGTATTTTGTTTTGTTCTCAGCTGAACTACCAGTACATGAAGCGATGTGTACAGAACGGTCCTGTGACTCCGATGGCGGAACAGTGGTGGCTTGATATATTGAGAATGATACCACCACGCCTTGTGAGCGCACAACATTTGCAAGCTCACATTACACAGCTACAAGAAGAGGTACACGAAGAATATGAAGCCAGCATGAAGAAAGCCATGGGTAAACTATGATTTTGATATATGGAGAAAAATACCCAAAAATATGCTACAAATGAGTGTAGACTTTTAGACTCATGCTATATTTTAAGTGTTTCAGGTTGTTTTTGATTAATCATGTAGTTATGAGTTAAACAGTCGGTTTAAAATCATCATAACTCTATAATACGATCCCTAAACTCAGAACATAGACGTGCTGTATAGGTTTAAGAATTTGCCACAGAATCCCCTACTTTTAACCGTCCCGGGACGTTTCTAAAGGCCCATTTCCACTCAAGAAAATTTTCCACGGACAGAAAATGTTCCGAAAATAATCATTCTGAAGTTGAAAATTTTCAACTTCAAAGTGTTTTTTTTTCGACAGAAAATTTGACTCGGCCAATCACATTTTGCAAAATTTTCTGTCTGCGGAAAATTTTCCTGAGTGGAAATAAAGACCCATGTCCACTCAGGAAAATGTTCCGCAGAAAAAACATTTTGTAAAATGTGATTGGCGGACATATATATTTTCCGTCAGAAAAAAAATTTTGAAGTTGAATATTTTCAACTTTCAACAATAATATTTTCGGAAAATTTTCTGTCCGTGGAAATTTTTCTTGAGTGGAAATGGACCTTAAGGTGGCTCGATACAGTTTTCAAAAATTCAGGGGCCGGTTGTATAAAAACGTAATTAGCGCTAACTGTAGTTAGCGTTAATCACTGTAGTTAAATCCTTAACTGTAATTAGTTAACTACATGACTTAACTGCGTTGCACAAAACGTAGTTAGTCGGATAGTTAACTAATCACGTAGTTAACTGTGCGTGGGGCTTGCGTGGGGCGTTTAAACACAAAATTACATAAAGTAAGCAGCGAATAACGACCGCTGACACACATTTTCAACATGATTGTGGACTCGTATTTTGCAAATAGGCGGGAATTTTATTCAAAACGCTAGAAAAACAATGAAAAATATACAAGAAAACAAGGAAAAGCCGCCACAAAAATCATAAAAGAATGCAGTTTTTCCTTGAGATGCCTACGTTAAACCAAGGTATAGCTGTTTGGCAATTATATATCAGTGTTTCTTGGTGTAAAAACACCAAAGCGATAGCGTTTGAAGAGTTTATATTGTCAGGAAACATTCACAGGGAAGATAGCGATTGAAAATCTCAGGTAACCGTTGCTTTTCATTGTTGTTTTACTGAAAAATGTTGTTCACTCCTATACAAACGCCATTTTTAACTACGTTTTGGACAGTTAAGGTTACAGGACACCCTTTTTGGCGTTTTACGGAAAATCGCTACTGCGCGTTCAATATCAGTCCGATTTTCATCAAATTTGCACCAAATGTTCTCCAGTGCATGCAAAATATGGTAAAGTTGTAAAATTAACAAACAATAAAATAATGTAAGAATTATTCAAGAAAATCTTAAATCGCGGTACCGTTAGGCTTTTGAGTTGTGCTCCTGCTGGTTTCAAGTTATATTTATGAAAATATCATTTTTATACAGTAAAATAGTTGTTCTAAAAAAACGTGTTCGGAAATTTTTGTTTATTTCGTCATTCCGCTGATATGGCGATTTCTTTGACGACTGCAATATATTTCTGAATTGTTTGAGTGAATTGCTCTTTATTTTTAAAATATCCAAAATTAAAAAAAAGCCGAACACGTTTTTGAAACTGACGTATTTAGCTATGACCTGTGAAAATTTGAGAAAAATTGGTTGAAACCCGCAGGAGCACAACTCATTTGAAAATCAGTAATTACCGTAAAATGTTTCGGGAGAAAATTGAATTTGAATATTACATTTTCAATGTTTTTCTTATTGCAGCGAAATGTATTTTATTAAATAACTCTGCGAGTTTTCAACATTTTTCGTTCAAACTTGGTCAGATAGTAGAACTAGTCTAATGCTTTCATTGAAACCAATAAAAAAATTTTAGGCAAAATTAACACTCAAAGGTGTTCTGTAACCTTAACTATACCCTAAAGCATAGTTAACTTTAACTACTTTTTAACTGCAGTTAAGGCTAACTACACTTTTATACAACCGGCTTAATTACGTGATTAAAGTTAACTATTTTTTAAGGCTTTTTAACTACTTTTTAACTGCAGTTAGCGCTAACTACGTTTTTATACAACCGGCCCCAGGTATTTAACACTTTGACATGTTCAAACTACGCATTTTTAGGATTTATTCAGCAGATATTGGGTTTTTTTATATATTTTGATAACTCTACTTTCAAATTATATTCGTTTTAGTAACAGATAGTTCGTTGCTATGACGACATACGTGTACGAAATTGACTCCAAAATGGCCTATCGTCTCGTATAGATGAAAAAAAAGCATGGTGACCCCCAATTTTTTTTCGTGCATTATTTTACTTGGACGAAAAGCTAACAATTAGCAAAATATAAAAAATTTCTGTAATGCCATTTTTTTGGAAAATGCGAAAATGTCATATTCTTTGGTAACATTTTTTTGGCATTACAGAATTTTTTTATTTTTTGTATAATGAAAATTTTTAGCGGTGCAATACAGCATGCAAAATTTGAACATAGGTCACCAGACAAAATAAAGAGATATAGCGCATTGTTTTTCTAAAATGGAAAATTCTAATGACGTCAGCAATTGACATAAAACGCTATAGAACACGCGCAATGGCGTGAGATGGCGCGAGCAACTGCTCACGTCAGGTCATTTTGGAAGTTCTTTCATTTTGTTAATCAGTTTCCGCGACCTGCGCGTAAAAATGGTCAACCGGTTTTGAGTTCGCGATTCTTGAACAGGATTTTTGTGATAACTATATCGAGCCACCTTAACACCTTAACAGCTTTCAGTAATTAACCATACACGTAGATGGACGAAGTGAAGAGTTTCAGCTCTTTTCCCACGTTTTAGTTTCTGGTAGGAAGTATGGTTATGACGTTTTCATTCGAACCTATAAATTCGAATATATTTACTACTGAGAAGACATCACCCCTTTATACTTTCGTTTCTCCATGAGTAGTTCAACTTTCAGCATTACACTATTCACTTAGTTGAAATTATATTCGCGTGTATAAGCAAAGAAAAAAAATACTTGTGCTTAGTAGAAGTTCATAACCCGATCCATTCTCACCATATACTGTATACAGGTATACTTTTATACGCATAAATTGGATAGTTATTAATTGGTTTGATAATCTTATTTTAGTGCAACATGTATTGTTAAAACCAAACGTAAAAGGTGTTGAAGATGACGAAGATTTACCAGAAGATCCGGTGTATGTATATATTATCCAGTACTAATTTTCCTGTTGTTTAAACCCATTCTGTTCTGCATGGGATTATATATTATAATTATATACTGTAGTATAGTTCTATAGGTTTGGGTTACATACTCCTATTTCGGTTAGGATTAGCCTCCGAGTAGGTGTGTATTTAGATTGGGGCTGGAAAATTAAACGCATGGCTTTGTCAATTTGGAAAACGCCATTCTGCATCACGCTGAACCTATCAAAAACTCAAAATATCAATGGACCATTTGCATTATACTGACTAAATTTTGATCTATACAAGTCTAGACAAAAATTTCATCACAGCTTGAAAGAGCATCACAAAATTAGTAATATTTCAAAGTTTTGTTGCGAAATGTTCTAAAATGCGGATAATATAGCCCAATACCCTTTGGGGCTGTCAATTTCCCGTTTGTAATAGAAAATGACTGAAAAACGGCAAACTTCGCAAGGCTATATTATCCGCATTTTACAACACTTCGCAACGAAACTTTGGAATATTACTATTTTTGTGATGCTCTTTCAAGCTGTGATGAAATTTTTGTCTAGACTTGTTTAGATCAAAATTTTGTCTATAATGCAAATGGTCCATTGTAGACAGATGGGCATCTCACTCGATAGAACTAATCACTAGTAATCAGTGTTGAAGGGTTTTGTAGATGGAAATTTCGAGTGTAAATTTTATGCATTTACTGTATTGTAGACCTATACTGTAACCAGCAACAGCTGCGAAAACTACTATATAGAGTAGGTCCTCTGACAGGAATCGAACTTGCGGCCCTGCGATTCCGATGTAGCGTTCTAACCAACTGTGCTACAGAAGGGTATTGTAGATGGAAATTATTGAGTGGAAATTTTGTCAATTTTTGGTACGGCACGGATAAAATTGGTACCTGTACCACTTTTTTGGTTCCTGGACTACCTATTTAGCTAAGCCCCGTTTACACTACGCTCAATATTTGGTTCTGTACCACTTTTTGGTTCTTGGACTACCTAAATAGGTAGTCCAAGAACTAAAAAAGTGGCAGGGGTACCAATTTTATCCGTGCCGTACCAAAAATTGAGCGTAGTGTAAACGGGGCTTTTTTAGCAACTTTAGGTCCCTGGCAGGAATCGAACCTGCCGCCCTGGGATTCCGCTGCAGCGCTCCAACCAACTGAGCTACAGAGGCCAGTTGTCGAGCTCTAACCACAAGTTCATGTGTATATGTATACTATATGTATACATGTGCATATGTATACATGTATAGGTTATGTGTAAATATCAAGATTTTGTTGGCATCTCACTCGATTGAATAATAGTTTAAGGGTATTGTAGATGGAAATTATCGAGTCGACATGTATGCAGATTTATTAGACAGTTGCCCAGCTCTATAACCGCAAGTTGATGTATATACTATAGGAACAAAATTATTAAGAACAGAGAAATTATTCTGTCCCGTAATTTTATGTCATATTTTCTAACTTTAGCGGATTGGACTTTTCTAGTCCATGGCGAGAGACGTTTAGCAAAGCCAAAAGATCTATTGCAGAAAATCTTCATATATTGCATCATTCTATGCAAACTATACTCAGGATTTGTCAAAGTGGCATTTATTCAACCTTACTTATTGTTGACCTATCCAAGTTGAGGTAAATTCACATATATAAAATAATTGTAATGATTGGGTAAAATAATTGCACTGTTTTACACTTGTTGCGAACTTTCACATTATTAGGGAACGTAAATTCGAATTAGCAAACGTATAACTCTCCTCCGCAGAGGCCATGTGTTTTGTTCGGTTCGGTTCGGCTCTGTTCTGTTCTGTTCTGTTCTGTTCTGTTCTGTTCTGTTCTGTTTTGTTTTGTTTTGTTTTGTTTTGTTTTGTTTTGTGTAGGCAGACTCCTAGCCTGCATAGCCCGCGACTATCCCGCCCGCGAATCCGCAACTATCCCGCCTGCGAAAAAAAACACACGAGAAAAACACACGGAAAAACCCAAAACAAAACACAAAGCCTCTGCAAAGGAGAGAAAGATAAATATAAAATAATATATAAAAAATATATATAATTATACAGACTGTATAAAGCAATTTAATTTGGTTAATAAATCATACTTCTTTTAGGTTTTTAGTTGAAGTTATCATTTTGGTCATAACTACTCCAAAAAGTTACGCTGTTTGATTTATTATAGTGGAAAGCTAGAACAGCTATTTTGCTCAAATAAATTTTAAATAAATTTTCAATATTAATAAAACGTCCAACGTTGTTAGCGAAATGTCCTTTTCTCATGCAGTTTATCATTGAACTCTATCTGCGCGATACATAACCCCACGTTTGACGTTGAGATTGAATTTTACAAAACTTGTTGACAAATGTGTTGTTTTAGATCCCAAGGACCTGTTGAATGCGAACATTTAAAAAACAATGTAACGCTTGATTGTGAAAAAATGGAAGAAAAAATGATGCACAGGTATGGTACATTCAAGGTATTGACATTTGCGCTTTACTGTACACAATCTTCGCTTACTGGAGTTACGCCAATACTGCATATGCGAATTGGTACTTCTTTTTCCAGCCAAGTATCACGTTGGTACTCGCAACTCTGCCATATCACCTTTCCAAGCCGTATGGTGTTGAAAACCGCCATTGCTGCCAAGCGTTAGCCAGGCAACACACTATTCTTGACGTGCAATGGTTTCTTCAGAATCCACTCGGCCCAGTCTTTCGCGCGATCTATATTGTGTCTGTTAAGATGTCGTAGTTTAGCTACGTAGTCAAACACGATTTTGTATTGTTCATGCATGTTTGGATGTCTTAATTGCGTTAAAAATTTCAATTAAATTTTGCAACGTAATAGACGAACGTCCATTCCAATTAGAAAAATACAGAAAATATAGCCTTGCGAAGTTTGCATATTTTCAGTATATTTGTATTACGTGCGGAAATTGTTACCATTTTCGGCTCAAAAATGGGAACAATTTCCGCACGTAATACAAACGTACTGAAAATATGCAAACTTCGCAAGACTATATTTTCTGTATTTTACAACATTTCGTGACCAAATTTTGCAATTTTACTAATTTTAATAAGTTCTTTACGGGAATTTACTTCTTTTTTTTTTGCCTAAATCCAAAATTAGTCTAACATGCAAGTTGTCTATTCAAGGAAGGTTGTTTTCTGAAAACCGCATAACGTCGACCAATAAGAGCAAAAAGCATAATGGGCGTGTTTATTATTACGAGATTCTTTATGCATGCTTGTTAGTACATTTAAGTGAATTTAATTCCCAAAGGAGTTGCATAAACAAACAACTTTCTTTAACGTTAAAAAGTTTAAAAATCCAATGAAAATCTACTAGACCGGTTTTATAGTATAGAAACACAATATAAATTTCGAGCCCTGATAATTACGCCCTGCTGATGACAGAGTATGCCACACTTGCAGATTACCATTTTGTGTTAAGTCTCATGCAGACCGAACGCGATTTGCCAACGCGACGCGAATTTTCAGTTTTTAAAATCAAATAAAACCGTCAACGGATAAAAATTTTACAAGATATGCAGACCAAATAGCTAAAACTGCTTAAGTGGTTCCGAATATTTGAAAAACATAGTACAATAGTAGAGTTAAATGTCATTGAAAAATTGAAAATTCGCGTCGCGATGACGAATCGCGTCCCGTCTGTGTGGGCCTTTACTCTTACACGTTCTTCCCATGCACGTACAGTATTGGTTCATTTTTTCTTTACAGTAAAACTTAATATGTGCATGCATTAAATTGTTAACAATTATATTTTCGTTTCCTTCATAGTTGGTTTCCAGAAATTGTAAAAGTATTTGTTGACAAAAACAGTTTGAAACACTTGAAATCTGATCGACTTGACTCGTTCTACAACAGCGTATCTGTTCTAATATCCAATCAGGTAATTCATTTCCGTTGTCCGCATTAAAGAGGGTGCATATTATAGAAGCCATTTTGAAAGAAAATATAAAGTATGAGAATTTTGTCGGGCAATTGTCTTTACAGATAAAGAAGTGTCATCCCTAAGGCAAAATTTATATTACGTTACTTATTACGCAATTCGGGAAATTAATATAATAATTGTTTAGTGTCGGCGTAAATTATTCCGATCGAGGAACTATACTGTATATAATCAGATTACAACGTTTCTGCTATTAATTCGACAACTTGATCCATCGCTGTCTTACCACCATTTCCAAGAAACCGTTAACTGTGAACGTTTTCACATGTTTGTCCCGCCCAAATATTGTTTTATAAAAGAATTAATAGAAACACCGGGGTGAAACGTCTGTGCATACGTCAACCTTGACTGAAATTTGCCTAGCAAAACGTGGTGTCAAAGTGTTCCTAAGGTTGTCGAAGACGAAATAGGAGTGACTTACAGAGTGACTTGCATGCCTGTCTTTCCTGTAAAATTGCGAGCGAAGTAATTAATGTGTCACCTAAAAAGTAGAAATATAATTATAGTCTGCAAGTGTAAGAAATAGTTATATATAGTATGCATGAAAATGTGCCAAAGCTGACTGTCGATAAATTTATTGTATATTGAACCATATAACAACCGGTATTTTTCGTAGACTCAGAATTTGCTTAATCGTTACGTCCAAACTTTGGTAATTCATAATATTTCACGAGGCGCTCGATACATTATTATTATTATTATTATTATTATTATTATTATTATTATTATTATTACTATTATTATTATTATTATTATTCATTCCTAACCGTTAATAACTTTATAGAACATAATATTCAAAAAGGATTCACACCTAACATGTCTGGCACCTTAGAACATACTGCACAAATGGCCAATATAATCAATAAAGCCCGAATCAAACAACGCTCACTAGTCATCATCCTACTTGACCTCAAGAATGCTTTTGGTGAAGTTCATCATAATCTGATCACATCCGTACTTGATTATCACCATATCCCCCAACATGTTAAATTGATAATTAAAAGTCTATATACCGATTTTCAAACTTCAATAATTACATCTGAATTCCGTACCCCCTTCATACCAGTTCG